CTTCAGGGCTGGCGGGTTTAAAAAGGTCGGCTCTCCAAGGCTGAAATTCTAAAAATACTTCAATTTGCTAGGCCCGGCCCTTAAACTACAGGGCCAGAGCCGGCCCGCGGGCTTTTGGCCCGTTTAAGAAAAAATACTATTTTTATATTTATCATATTTTTTTATAAAAATATAAAAATAAACCAATGAAATTATTAATAAAAGACATAAATATGAATAAAATTAAGTCACAAATATAAAATATCATCATATATAAATATTCATCAACATCTAAGAACATCTAAAACATTCATTAACAAGATAACAACATCTAAAAGTTTTATCTATAATGCAATTGTGCAATAAATAAATACTATCATTAATCTTTTAAAACTTCATCATCATTATAATTAATTACTTTTCTTCATAAGTATGCTTTTCTTTCATAACAAAAATATCAAGTTTTTCTTCTTTATAAGAATTTTATTTTTAAATTTTGCAATCTAACTATTATTTTACTTTAATGTCAGAAATATTGTTGTTGAAACTCATGAATTTCTAATTCAAATTATAGAATCACAATTTATATAAGTATAAAAATATTCTATTATCAAATATATATAGTTTAAAAATATCAACGCATATAATATAAATCAAATCATTATTAAAGTCCAAATTAACTCATTTTTTAAAAATTTAATTGGACAAATTATTGTCTAAAACTAAATTTAATTTTAGAATGATAATAATAACTAAATATTTGAAATATTATTAACAATGTAAAAAATTAATAACATTAATATTATATAAAAAATTTTAAAAATAAAAAATTTATAAAAGGGTTTAAAAGGGTCGGCCCGCGGCCCTCCACGGCCGGCCCTTTTAAGCCCTCGGCCCTCCAGGGCTTATTTCTCATTTTAAGATAAAAATATCAAGCCCGGCCCTCATAATTTCAGGGCCTAAAAGGGCCGGCTCGACGGGCTCGGCCCATTTTCCCGGCTCTAACTACACGTGGTACAGTTTCATTTTTTTTCCGATTAAATGAGTTTTAAATTGAAAACTTTTTCTTCAATTTTACCCAATTAAATGAGGTTGTGAATGAGAGAGGGAAAAAAAATATAAGAGTTACATATAAAAATTAATTATAGGGACAAAATTGATAAATACTCCTCTGGTCATATTTATAAGACAGAGAGAAAAGATATTTTTTAGTCTTATTTATAGGGTATTTAGCAGTGAAAAAAAACCGGACCGAACCGGCCGGTTCAACCGAAAACCGGCATCAACCCGGTCAAACCGGAATAAACCGGTGCAAACCGGCAAAAACCGGTATAAACCAGTGATGAACCGGTTTGAATGATATTTTGCTATTTATCCTATTTTTTCTTATTCAACTCCTAATATTTCAGTCACTATATATTTAAATGAATTTTAATAATAATTTTGGTATTAATAATTATTAATTTTAGTTATTAAGAAATCGTAAAGATCAAAATCCTTAATGTTATTGTATTTGTTTTAATTACAATCAAATTATTGTTGTATTTCCTTACATTTTGTTATTAGTGATTATTAATATTGCTATACTTTGTTATTTTTAATTAAATTTTATCATTTTAATGTGACCGGTTTGATCCCGGTTTGACCCCGATCTGACCCATTAACCCTTGAACCACTACCTCGACCGGTTTAGTGTCCGGTCCGGTTTTTTGTTCCTTAGTATTTAGAGAATTTTTTTGTATGATGTACAATTTTATCCCTTATTTATTATTGTATTAACTTTGTTTACATGAGGTATAATATATATTAAATAAGGATAAAGTTAAAAAGTTATTAAATTTTAAATGAGAGTTAATAAAGTTTTTCTTGATCTGTGTGAAATATGCAAAAAGTGCCTTATAAATAGGATCAGAAGAGTAAGTATTAATTACCACTCTGGTTCTTATTATTTGTTACTTGTAGAGAGGGATCCTAATCCATTTTATTTGCCACTTATACCCCTTCCCGTACTTCATTTCTAATTTTGCTCTTATTAACTACAGTAAAGGTGAAAAGAGAGGATAGGTGAGAGAAATTATACTAGTATTTAATGTTCTCCTTAATAAAAACAAAAGTAAAATTTTGATATGCGAGAAAATTTTACAAATAACAAATAATAAGACCATAGTAATACTTTTCAAGTGATTTATATTTTTTTTTTTGGCAAAAAAAAAAGTGATTTATATTTTGAAATTTGGACCAAGCCATTCTTCAGAAGCTTTGGTCACCCCACCAAAACTGTCTATTTATGTTAAAACTTACAGAGGAAATGAAAACAAAGCAAATCATTAATTAGAACAAACATATTTGCAAAAGTAAAATGAACACATAATCAACCATCAACAGAGGACATGATGGGTAAAAACATTACCAGTAATCTATCCATCTCAACTCACTAAAGAACAACAACCAACGTAGTTTTCAAGGACAAGCAATAAAATTACTTGAATTTTATGGCAAATTTAATGTTTTTAAATGTTTTTATTAGTACACATAAATTAGCTTGCAGTGTCTTATAATAAGGACTAGAGAGAGTAAATCACTCTATAAGAAAGGACCGATCCACCAAAACTGAAACTAAACTGTCTTATTCAGAGAACTATATGGTGAACTAAGTAAATCCAACCAAAATCGCGTCATCAAAACAATTAAATGGCTGAATAAGCAAATGCAATGAACACACACAATATTTGATCATACATCAGTGATTAAATGGACAAACAAATAGATTCAATGGCCAATTGTAGGATGCCAAGTAAGCAGATTAATTAGCCAAGTGGAGCCATTAGTGTGCAAATCCAGGAGATTAGCAGGGTATATTTGATTGATTAATGATGATATAAGAAAATATAGATGAATATTTATTTCATATAAGAAATTGGAGTTTTCAAAGATGTCATTTTAGGAGACCATTGAAAATAAGTAAACGAGAGGAAGGACAGAGACATTGTGACTCGTGATGGTGAAACTGGCACTCCTACGCAACGCACTAGCTTCTTGAAAGTGTTTAATAATCTTCGAGAATTTCTAGAGTCAGATTTGGCCTTTTCTCACCAACACTTGCTTCATAATGCTATAATAATTACTACTTAACCTTTTCCTCTCTTTTTTTCTTTCTCAAGACATGATTATGTTTTGTCGTGTGCCTTTGAGAAACGTTAATCTTACGCTAAATTGTTACCTCCCCACTCCCGTTTAGATGGGGAAAAAAATAGAGGGGAACAGAATACTAAAAAGACTATGTAAAAATAATTAAAAAATTATTATTTCTAGTTTTAATTTTTAGCATTTTCCCCATATTTTGTTCTCATTTTTACCTTCATTTTTTAGGAAAAAATTAAAAAAATGACACTTAAATTTTCAACACCCCAAAAGATCATCTGATTTTGTACAATTCTAAATCAATCACAATGACTAAATTGAAATTTTAAAATTTTAGTGAATTTACAATATTATAAGGGCAATACTATAAATTTATCAACATTTTAAAGTTTTAATTTAGTCATTATGGATGATTTAGAATTTTACAAAAATTCAAGCGTCATTTCTTAAGCATTTTTTTTTTTGCCAGAACATTTTCCCTTCATTCAAGACCAAGTTCTCAGATAGGAGTAAGACGCGCAGGCAAAAATTAAAAAAAAAAAAAAAAAAGACAGGAGTAGGACGCCATTCAATCGGAATCTTGGGCTCAGTAGTCAGTGTTGATACGTTTTTTTTCCACAAGAAAAAAGGAGACCCACGGCAGTGACTATTCACCAGTCAATTGTTGAATAATCTTTTGCCATTATTAATAATTTAATTTAATATTTTATTAAGTACTCGTAGTAAATAATAAAAACTTGTCGTGTGGTGAAGCCAACAGAATCATTAAAAAAAATCTCATAACAAGTTAATAATTCTATGCATACGAAATAATATCAAAATGGATGCTTGTTTATTATTGGAACCTTTTAATGAATAGTGATCATATTATTTCTTTGAGATATTACAATGACCTATCCAATAATAAGTACTCCTATGATCCTATTTATGGGACAGAAAAAGAAAAAAAAAATTTGTCCTGTTTAGAAGGCAGAGAGAAAAAATTTTCATATAAATGTATAGCTTTACCTTTCATTTATTTTATGTTGATTTTGTTCTTATAAGGTATATTATATATTAAACAGAATAAATTTGAAAATTTATTAAATTTTAAATAAGAATTAATAAAATTTAAAATTTTTTATTGATTTACATGAAAAAGTTAGCAAAGACTTATAAGTAAAATCAGAAGAATACTTTGTCTTTGCCTCTACATATAGTAGTATATTACTCCCTCCCCCCCTCTTTTTTTTTGCCTCTTTAAGTTCTTCATGCAAGACCTCTAAATTTTAAAATTTCAAATTGGGAGAGGATTATAAAAATGTGTTATCATTTTATTTTTTTAAAATATTATCAATTATTATTAAAATGTAGTAAACAAAACTATTTTTTTGAATTCACCTCTTTTATTTTATCCATAAGTGTGTATTTAAGATTGATTTAAATTAATTCCCCAAAGGATAGATTTTTCCCCTCTCCATTTGCAAAGTATGGATCTGCAAATTTAATTTTCTCTGCTATATATGATTTAGAAATTAGAAGCAATCTCTTCTTCAACCAGATCCTAACTCTAGAAAATTTGTCCTTTATTTTTCTTCCCTATTCCTGGCTTTGGATCCTGCATGTCTTTCTAAAGCTCCACTAGCTAATAGACACCCACCAAAATGAGTCTAAAACACAGAAATTTGTGCATAAGAAGAAGATCCTCAGTCAGGAAATGAGGACGATCAGATAGAAACGAAGGTAAAGAGGGAAGTACTATGAAATTATTCTGATTATTGTCATCGTTCTAAACAGAAGGAGAAGAAGAAGACAGAATAATCCCCAAATTTTGTTTCAGAAAAAAATTAATTAAAGCAAGAGCTGAACATATAATCACATTCCTGGACAGTGGAGTGAGAATAGCTAAGATTATAACATGAACACCGCAAAACGAACGGACTAAAATTGAAGAAGAAGAAGAAGAAGAAGAAGAAATATTAATAATGCATGACATAAACATTGTACTCAACAATGGCGTCCCTTGAATTGGCATCGAACCAGTGGGTTCGAGCTTCCACGTATCCCCTGGCAAATCGGAAAAGCCCACTTCCTCCGATCACCGGCATCTCCCTCACTTTGTTGAACACCGGATTCCTCCCCAACACCGTGATTGTGCTTCCGTTGTACTTCCCTTCCATGAACGCGAAATTCATCGCCATCATAAGCCCTATTTCGCTCTGAGACGCCGACGCGTAAAACCCCTGAGCTCTTCCCACCAACTGGGAGCTCAATTCCGGACCCATTGTCAGGGGGTTGTCGATCATGTTCAGCAGTCCGAACGCAGTGGTGGAGTTGATCGGCGACGGAACGACGGGGACGGAGGTGGGATTGTGGCCGCTGACGATGTCGTGCCAGTAAAATCGAAAGTGGCTGAGCTTTTCTTTCTTGAGACCGAGGAGCTTCCGATCGATTGGGCGAACGAAGTCGTCGTGGGTATGATGTTCAGCGACGACGGGAAAGAGAAGAGGAGCAGAGGAAATGAGAAAGAAGAGGAGGGCGAGGGATCGGGAAGCCATTGTTGGAAGTTGGAAGATGCTCTCCTGCGAAAAGGGAGTGCTGAGTCGAATGCTTTATAGCCAGAAACGCCCATCGTAACTGGGAAGCCAAGAGAACAAAATCACACTTCCTTGTTTTGAGGAGACAAAAAACAAAAAAACGTAACCAGAGGGTATTTTCACTAATATTTATATCCCCAATATAATTTAATATCAAATAGTTTTAATTCTTTTTTAAAAATCAAATCTTGATGAAATTAAGAATTGATCAACTTAAAAGTAAAGTATACTTCATTTGTAATTATTTTTTTTCTTTAAATCATCAATTATTACTTGGAAATAAAAATACATGGTATGCGAAAATAATACATTTTATTCTACATCTAGGTCATATTCTTTTATTGTTTTCCGTCATTGATAATCCATAGATGACCAGAAAGAGAAAAGCTTCCTTCAAAAGTTATAACTATAACTGGTCATTTTCATTATGTATGATAGTTTACAAATAAATAAGGTGTTTATTCATAACTAATATTTAGAAATTTACAATCGATATTTGACAATTTGCTTGGAATTTGAGATAATTCCAACCATTTGTGAAGAGTGTGTGTGTAAGTTCATCAATACTTCATTCTTAAATTAGTGCATTTAGGGGTGTTTGATTGGTGATGTTTTATGTAAATTTTTTTACGTCTTTACTACGTATATCAAAAAATTATCTTTAAAATTATGATTTAATTTTTATTCAAATACCATTTAAATGATAAATGTCTCTGCTTTGGTTTGTAGATATGGTTTTTGATGCCTCTTGTCTTTAAAAAGACTACGAAGGTGTTTGGATAAAAACCAAACCATGATTTTAAAAGTGTTTTTATGATTTATGAAGTAAATATATGAAGGAGTTTGTCTCATTTTGCGGAAAAGTCTCAGAGAAACACTTATGAGCATTGCCAAACACCACCTCCACAAGTTAATATAGCCATGAAGGTCTGAATGGATTCTGAAACGCACAAGTTTATCTCTAAAAGATGAAAATCATCAATCAGGAGAGTGGGGTACAAATTATTATCATGATTATCATCCTTCTAATCAGAGGAAGACACTAATTCCCTCATTATGACTCAGAAAAATAATTAACTAAAGCAAAAGCCCAACTCATAATCACATCCACAATAACTATGAGAGCCCTACCACAAAATTAACCCAAAAAGAAAAAAACAAGTCTGAAATTAAATTAGAAGAAGCAGCATCAATAATGCATAACATAGACGTTGTACTCGACGGTGGCGTCCCCGGAAGCGGCAGACCACCAGTGGGTTCGAGCTTCCGCGTATCCTCTGGCAAATCGGAAAAGCCCACTTCCTCCGATCACCGGCATCTCCCTCACTTTGTTGAACACCGGGTTCCTCCCCAGCACAGTGATGGTGCTTCCGTTGTACTTCCCTTCCATGAACGCGAAATTCATCGCCATCATAAGCCCTATTTCGCTCTGAGACGCCGACGCGTAAAACCCCTGAGCTCTTCCCACCACTGTGGAGTTCAATTCCGGACCTAATGTCAGGGGATTATCGATCATGTTCACCAGTCCGAAACCAGTGGTGGAGTTGATCGGCGGCGTAACGACTGGGACGGAGGTGGGTTTTTCGCCGCTGAGGATGTCGTGCCAGTAGAATCGGAAGTGGCTCAGCTTTTGTTTCTTGAGACCGAGGACCTTCCGATCGATCGGGCGAACGAAGTCGTGTTCGGCGATGACGGAAATGAGAAGAGGGGAGAAAGAGAGGAAAAGTAAGAAGGAGACGAGGGATTGGGAAGCCATTGTTGAAACTTGAAAGATGCTCTTCTGCCAAAAGGAAGAACGGAGTTGAGTGATTTATAACCGGAAAGGAAAACTGGGGTGGGACTGGTCAGACAATAAATATAAATTTTTCTTGCTTTTTCTTCTTCTGCCATCATTTTCTTGCTTTTATTAATACTACCTCCGGTCCTAATTATAAGACCCAATTGACTAATTTGAAGAGATTAAAGAAGTAAGTTAAGTTAGTTATTTGTAACAAACAAGTGTTGTCATTCCTAAAATATCCTTGCTAATTAAGTGTGTTGGTTAAAACTATCATTATTAGAAGGACTATCTTGGGAAAAAATGTATAAATATGAGAGACAAAATGGATTGGGGTCTTATAATTAGGACCAAACTAAAAGTCAAACGAGGTCTTATATTAAAGACCGGAGGTAGTATAATCCTACAGTCCCATTTATTTATAAGATATTTTCAGCGTGTTTTATGTACATTAAAAAAATTTTAATTTAAATTAACTCTCTTTTAAATACTTTTTTTAATTAGAAATTTTAAATCACAGATAACAAATAATTAATTAAAAGTAATAAATTGATTAGAAATTTAATTTTATTTTCAAATATACCTTTATAATAAATGAGAAAAAGAATAAAAGAGAATGTGTAAAGAAATATAATAAGAGAGAGGATGATAAAGAAGAAAGAATAAATAATTAAAAAAACTACATTAAATATTAAGACATACTCAAATTAAAACTAATAAAATAGACCATACTCTTATTTGAAATTGAAGCCTAAATAGCACAGAGGAGGTCTAACAAATTTTCAGTTTTACTCCTATTTCATATATACATCTTTTAGAAAATAATTATCTGCATTATAACAAATTAAAAATAAAATAGTACATTTCTATTAAAAATTTAACAAAATGACTTATAGATACTACCAAGAAAAAAAAAAAAAAACCCTTCTCATTGTTTTGTAAATAAGATTCGAAGAGTAACTCATATTATTTTTTTACGGTGGCAGAAAAAGTCATAATTAATTTATTGTTCATGACAAATATTAGTATCTATATGAGAAGTTATCACGGATATGTTTAATAGCTTTTTTTTTTTTCATAAATAAATAATACTACCTCTAGTTTTTAATATAAGACTTTATTTGATTTTTATTTTGATTCTAGATATAAGACCCCAATCTATTTTATCTCTCATATTTATGCATTTTTTTTTCAAAGAAGTCATTCTAATAATGATAATTCTAGCTAACACACCTAATTAGCAAGGATATTTTAGGAAAAATAACACTTATTTATTACAAATAACTAACTTAACTTCTTTCCTTAATCTCTTCAAATTAGTCAACTAACTCTTATAATTAGAACCAGAGGTAGTATTACTTATAAGTCAGTTTCTAAATTACAAAAAAGAGATAAAAGTATTAAATTATTAAATAATATTTTTCATTTTTTTAATCTTAGGATTAAATTAATTTAATATTTTGGTGCTCAAACGCCATTTTCCCCGCACTAAACTTTACATCGTCTATGCACACAGATGATTAGAAAGAGAACATTTTGATGCTTAAGCGTCCCGCCATCGGCCATGCTTAGCTTTCTGCTTGCTTTTGAGTTCTGATATTGAGACACTTTCTCATATAAAATTATAAGACACGCTTCTCTCCACAATACGTGGGAATTTTAAATAATTTAAAATATATAATGGGCACGATAAAATTAAAAACTTAGTACGTGATGAAAATATTTAAAAGCAGAAAAATAAACATAATTCAACAACAAAAAAAACCAACTTTAAAAAAATTTGAAAAAATAGTAAATTTGTAGTAGCCGTGATCAGAAAAATAAAATGTAATAAAGGCCAAATTAGAGGACAATAGAAAAACACGTTAGTTGAGAATTACATAGGGTTAAATAATTACTATTATCTCATGTCCTTAATGCTGCCTTTAGTCTTAATTATAAGACCTCATTTGTAAACTATAAAAGAGATCTTAGAATTAGAACTAGAACTAGTATAAATGCTAAATAACTAACTTGAGAAAATTAAAAATTTTAGTTAAGTTGGTAAATTACAACTTTTCCAAAGTATCATATTTAATTATATGTATTAGGACTATTCCTTAGGATACAAAGTCGATTAATTAAACTTAATTCTAAACTAATTCTTATATTAAGGATTAGCGGTATATATAAAAAGATAAGTTGGCACAACATCATCGAGAAAAAAAATCACTAATTACCATGTCAAAATCGTCGAGGAAAATCTTTATAAAAAATCATCAAGAAAAACATATAAGGTAGTTTGATCGCAGAGAGAAGATTGTTTAAAGTACCAATGAGAAGGAGTGAGCATATATATAATCTTTAACCTTATAAAGACTACGAATAATATTTAAGGAAGTTATTAATCAAAATCTCTTGATTATATAATCTTTAACCTTATAAAGACCACTAATAATATTTAAAGAAGTTATTAATCAAAATCTCTTGATTAATAGCTTATTACAAGAATTAGGTTTTAAACACGATGACATTTGCATTAGTGCAATCCATGCAACTAACCTTGATAATTAGCAGGATAAAATTTTTGCTGTTGTTGTTGCGTGTGAATCTTAGAAAAAAATAAAATACAAATTCTTTAAGATTGAACTAAACTAGTCAAACATATTGGAATATAAAAATTACGTAATTCCAAAGCTATAGATGTGGCCACTTTTCAACCATGCCAGAAGGAATGTGGGAAAAAGTTAAGAATGTGGAAAAAGAAAAAGCAACTTGCCTGGACCCCAAAATATATTAACCCGAAATTGAAATTAAAGAAATAATTATGAGAATAAATTGCAAGAAATTGATAATAATAATAATAATAATAATTAATCATCCAATTAAAAACACTGAACTTAACTTAGAAGGCACCACCTATTTATATATATATACTATGTTATACACATGTGACGTGAAGACGTAGGCTACATCATTATACTCTCCGAAGTCTGTCCATTTTCTTAACTGTCACACATATTCTTAGTTTATAAGTTAAAAAATCACTCATGATTTTAACTTCTTACGTAAATTTTCTACATTTTCACCAACCGCCTCTTCTCTCCCTTTAATTATATGTAATAAATTAACTATCTTTGATATATTCTGTTTAATTTTGTTGGGATCCATCAAGAGGAGAATTTGAACAAGAGAAGGAAAACCATAACTAAAATTGATTAGCTAAAGTATATATATTCAAATCCATCACAAATAGAACGCAACAACTACACCTA